ATTATGTATCCAAAAAAAGGTCACTGAAAATTTTTAATTAATCTTTTTAATACTTTCAAAAATAATTACCCATTTATATAATTTATTTTGTTATTTTAAAAAGAAGTTTTAAGAAGGCCTTAGTTAATATAAATTATAATTCTGATTATCTTTTTCAAGATTGTTTTGAAATTTGATATTGCTATTTTTTTTTTTTTGCATTGTTTTAGTGAATTTTCTTGTATTAAAATATGATATAATATGTAATTTTTTAATATTTTCTTTTATAATATAATTATTATTTTGTATTATTTCTTTTAAATATTCAAGACAGTTTTATAATAGTAAAATTTTATTCTTTAGCTATTTTTTTATATAAATTTATATATTATAATAAAAAATAAAAGGACAAAAAACTATATATTTATTAATTAAATAAAATAAAATAAATTATTTATTTATTAAATAAATTTTTTAAATTGAAATTTTTATATTAATTAAAAAATAAGTTTCCTAAATATTCTTGAAAAAATCTTATTTAAAAATAATTAAATTTCTTAAATAATTCAAAACTATGAAAATTATTGAATTGATTATAAAAATCTTTTTTCTTTATTATTTTTCAAAATAATATATAATAACAAACAATCCTGATAGATACTAATTTATTAGAAGAATAAAAAATTATTATATACAAAAAAAAAAAGATACTTTTAAGTGACGGCGTAGAAAGATCTATTAAAAACATAATCTGGGCGTATCTATGGAAAATGCATTACGCCATTTGTCTTATGACAGTCAAATATTTACATTCATAATTAAGTGTAACTCTGCTTTTAAGTCCCTGGATATAAATTTGTATCATTACATTTCTTGTGCATAATTTCTTTCTTTTAACTTCACGAAATATAATGTCCGGTAAAGCCGATTACATTGCTGTTCCCTGTGAGGAACCCAAACAAGGTAAACTATCAGAAAAAGTCTATTATATTAATCATTATATATTATCTTAAGATTAAATTGACCATGACCTCCTATTTAAAGAACATCCCACAGACGATGCCAATGTTCACAAGTGTCATTTTAAAAGAAAGAATGTATGGAGAAAAGCTTTCTTGTTTATCTTGATCTTGTTCTTAGGTGGTCGTTTCCTATTTGCCGGACTCTTCTACTTTCTGTTTAAAGGGTGTCATCATGTCAGTAAGATTTTTTTGATATCTTGAATGCCATTTATATTTTGTTCAATATTAAAATGTTTATTTTTATTTTTTATTTTTTATTATTTTTTTTTTATTACAGGGGCTCGAGAACACCAACCCTGATGATCAAGATTTTTTTATTGACTCATTCAGGCCCAAAGTTCCAAATGAGCCATCGTGTGAGCCTGCGTATAAATGGAATGGTCCAAGCGAGTTGCTGATTGATCCTAATGATGTTACAGGATTAATTTTCAATGTTAAAGGAATGTCAGCGGTAAATTAGAAATCCTTTTTATTTACTCATTGTCATTTAAAAAATATATATTTATTTTTATGACAATAAAATAATAGCATGGGAGTATTGTTATTCGTCAAGATCCACAGGCAAAAGATTATATAAATGTCACCAATAGGATTTACTTATCCGAGGAAAGTCTTCAAACAGAAGTTGACATTAAAATTGACATTATTGATGAAGATTATTCTATCACAATCGAGGTATTTATTAATTAAAAAATAAAAAAAAAAAATCTTTTTTTTATTATGACATTTAAAATAATTTTATTATTTCATTTATTAGGCACCTTCATTTGATGGTCCGCGACCTACAGCAAAATGTGTCACTGTTGATACCATTATTACTCTTCCTAATCATCTCCATTTCTTCCGATTATTGATTGCCGATGCTCCCAACAGTTTGATCGTAACTGAAGGGTTAGGAAAAGTCGATTTTTCTTACGTCAGTCTGAAGACCAGGAACGGCCATATTAAATTTGGGGTAGTTTTTATTTGATTATATCATCGACCTTTTTGAAAAAAATTTTTTGACGTTTTCGTTTAAATATAAATTTTAATTATTAGAATCTCAGTGCTGCTACTGCTGAAATCGCCACAATTAACGGACATGTTCATGGTTCATACATAGTTTCTGAAAGTCTGGATGTATGCAGCTAATGTTATTAAATTTTATTTGATGGCGAATTTTTCAAGCTTTATAACTTTATTTATATCATAAAGATTCGCACTGTAAACGGTGCAATTGACATTGATGTTGGTGTAAATGCCTTGGCTGAAGATATTTCCATCACCACCAAGTCTATCAATGGTCATTTGAACATCTCTGTGGTATGTTTTTCAATTATGGTGTTATATATTTTTATTTTATGAACTTCGCTAATATTAATGTCTGTTTACTCGAAGTTTAACTTGACCGAAGATCAAACAATTAATCTTAAAGCTGGTTCTGTCAATGGAGGTGCCATTACCAGTCTTGTACGTATACCTTTAATTCGATTTCGTAATTTACATTGAATAACCAAATTCTTTCAAATTCATAGCCTGAGGTGTACGCTGGTGATTTCTATGTTACCACCCTGATCGGTTATGCCTACGTTGAAGGTCACAATATCACTTATACTAAAAATTTGAGAAATTCAAAAGTCGGTTACAAGAATAAGAAAGATGAAGATGAAGATTCCTATCACAAGAATTATCACCGCAGTGAAGATTCTCATGTAACTTTGGAGGCCGTGACCGGTTCTGTTGAATTGTATTTCGTTTAACAAATAGATATTAGGGTTAAAATCTCATTTGATTGTATTATATATTTTGTTCAATATTAAAATGTTTATTTTTATTTTTTATTTTTTATTATTTTTTTTTTATTACAGGGGCTCGAG